AAAAAATAAATAAAAAAGCCACTGGGGGTAGGGGAACCATGTGGCCATGCAAGCAAGAAGTGAAAGACTTCACAAAGGTTTGATAATTAATAACAATTTCTGGTTGGAGAGAATTTCAAGAGAGAATAAAAAACAGACCATGAGGCAATCACAGTGCTGTGAGCGATGGATGCTGGCCAGAGCAAGGTCAACTCTGTCAACCGCAGTCCTATGAGGCCCGAAGGCTGCATTGTCTACAGGCCTGGCTGTGATGTCTACAAATAGCTCTCCAATGGCCAATCGCTAACTGTTGCTCCTAGCTAAAAAAGTACAGATTTGGTCCAAATTTTTCTAAAGACTCCCTACAGAGTGTCTGATAAATGCTGGTAGGACATCACTATGTAAACAGCTCTTGAGTAGCAGGCTGGGGAAGGTGGAGGTCAGTGCATGTGGCCCACATATGCTGGACTCAATCAGGACATTGATCTCAGAGGTTGGTGTTAATTACAGATTATTACTGAACCACAAATACAGTCCGGGCAGGACCGCTCAGCCTGGGACAATTTTAATAATGAGTGACAGCTTTGCTGTACGTCTGAGACAGTCTATGAGGTCATGGTTGGAAATGTCAAGGTGAAAATTTGATTTTTGTTTCTGATGGGTGTTGTTTTTGGTTTCTTGTTTGATTAGATTAAGGGATGCTGAGATGAACGAGAACATTAGACTCTTGCTAAGACCTCTACACGAGTATCCTATAGTCATCCCATTACAAAAAAGCATATTCCATTGGATAGATATTGGCCTAGCCCCTGAGTGGGTCTCTGGGAAAAGTCATGGGAGGAGTGTAAAGTTTATCAACTGCACCGAGTGACTTCTGACCACACGAGCATTACTTTTCCATCTCCCTGTATGCAGATGAAATTCCGGCTGAAGAAAAAAATCTAAGCAGAAGAGCCAACAGCTGGCTGCTCCCCTTAGCTCTTTTGAGTGTTCAGGTCCATGATAACTCCCTAGTAAATTGGATCATCAATCTTCCAGTCATACCGGTGGAAAAAGTCTTACATTGTAGCGTCAGGGTTAGCCCCACATATGGAGCTGTTTATAGGCTAATCCTGATAGAGGCACGAGGAGCGGAAGGGCACCAGATAGATCCCACCTCCCATCCATCTAGACCTCATCCCATTTTCTGAAAAAGATCAACCATATTAACCACTTCCACAGAATAAAACCTTTTTGATTGTAGCACTAAGCCCACCTATTTGTGCTCTTCCTGCCCTGGAAAGAAAAGGGTTGAAAGATGTTGATTTTGGAGTTACTCTGATCACTTTCGTTCCTATCATTCCTGGTCCACACTGAGTGCATTACGTAGAAAGCACATTCCTTTAAAACTTTGACTGCCAGCCATGAGTAATCGAAAAGTAGCAAGTAAAATAACCTGTAGGAATGTTTGTGTCCTACAGCTCGACATCAAATGTTGCAAATTCTGACATCAGAGCCGGGTCAAAGATCAACTTGGTTTAAAAAAAAAAAAAAAGCACCTCAGGTTTGGCATAACCAATGATGTCGGCACGGCTTTAGCAGTTCCCATGGAATGTGAGCTTGTAGAATTACAAACAAATCATTCTACAAGGACTGTAGCAACATCTGGCCATAGTTTTTCCCATGTGTTTGTTTACTAAAACCGAAGGACAAGAATCAAAAAGAGTGTATACACAGCTAAAGCTCTTTTACCATTGTGTGGATTAGTGCACAACTTGATCCGAGCATTTCTGGCAGTCTGAAACTCATGGGGGCCCAGGCCCTGACAGCGTGTGTGTCCGTGGGACCTTAGGCTGTTGTTCCTGGCAGGCCCCTGTCACAACTCTCCACCTCCTGATACTCTCCCCTCTCCGCCTCCTGCTCCTGTTCATACAAGCTAGGACAATGTGCATGTAATTAGCAGTTCTGTGTGGCAGAAGCAGCTGAGGTCTTGCTGCCTCATGGGCATAAGCAGCACTGCTCTGGAGACTTGCACACAAGAAGCTTTGGGCTCTGGCTGAAGTGGCCACTGTGCAGACAGCAGGATGATACAGAGGGAGGCTGTCTTTCCAATTATCACCCAGCAGCAGTTCACAGAGGTGCCAGACAACAATGCAAACTGATGTCTGAGTGAAATAAGCAACTTCCCATCCATGTTCCGTTCGCCAGTCACTCGTGGGAAGGAATTAAGATCCATAATATGGGTTAACAGTCGTTGGCTGGGATACAAATGGGACATAAGTGGGAATCTATGAGGCATAAAGTAAATTTTGCTTTGGAATTAAATGTTTGACTGTTTTTCTCAGTTCTGTGTGAGCTAAAGGAGGGGGGATTTCCACCCAGAGAGATGAGAAATCCTTACATGCTCTTCTCAGTTACAAAGCTACAGAGCAGGACGACAATGTTAAATGCATACAAACTGACAAAGAAAGGGAATATATGGAGTGAGGGAAAATCTATATGAGACAGCCCTCTACCCCCTCCACCCAACCACGGCAAGCCGGGAAACGGATAGGCTGAGAGATTTACGTAATTGCTGAAAAGTTTGGATTTCTTTTCATGTTCAAGTGTTCCATTTAAAAGCAGTCTCATGTCTCATGGTATGCTAATGGCTATTTTCCTCAGACAGGTCTTTGGCTAGCCCTTTTCCTTCCCTGCCAGAAGTGCTGGTCTACACCATCCATGCCAAGATTTTCCATAATCTGGCCACTCACTTTCCATTGGGTGCAATACATAAAATGGAAAGGTCAGTTTAATGTCAACTGTCCAGCCTTAACTCACAAAACTCGTATCATTTTACAAATAAGATCCCTTGTTTTGACATTTATAGTGCGTATTTCATTGCTATGGGTAGTTCTATGAAAACGCAGGTCAATTCAATTTGATGACTAACCTTTTAACTTATTTAAACTTTTTGCAGCACTGCCAATGTATGATTAAAACACAAGTCGCAAGCTATTTTCTCATTCACTTTGTCTTATTTGTAATGTCATGCGCTAAATTCTTAAACACATTTCAGCTGTGTATGTTTTGTTCCCAAAATGTCCAGCTTAAAAGCATCTTGTCTTTTGTCCAGACCTTTGCTCATGACCACAGAGAATTGCAGAGAAAATGACATAATACTCATCCTTAATGAAGACGTACATTTGAGCGCATAACGCTTCTGCTGCTGTATTGCCTGATCGTGCTCAAGAGTGCAACACGGCTGTTTGAAGGTCACTTTATGGGTAAAAGTTTTTTACATGAAGGCCTGACCTTAGAGGAGCTGATGGACAGTTCAGACACACATGTAGACTATCGCTCTCCCTATATGCTCATTCTCCATAGTCTTCCACAGGTGGAACCTCTCTGGACATTCCTCACTTCTGACGTGAACAAGTGAATAGAATAAAGCAGTCTGTAAATCTGGCACATCACCTTTATTGACACAAATCACAGATTTATGGACTCATGGCCATGTGTGTGTGCATTAAAGGAAGTGTAAACCACATGTCTTGCAGCTTTACTTCACGCACGTACCTGTAGCCGTCAAGAGTATGCTTAACACAACCCATTTTGCTTTCAGTACACTGTAAAACCCAACACTCAACTTTACTAAATGAAATGAATGTAGTTAACTAATCATTTGAAAAGAATTTTGAACTCAGTGTTGAAGGTAATGAGTTACAGTAATTAACTCCTCATTACTTTAACTTAAATGGAGTAAGTTTAAAAACGGTCCTCAAATGGTTTGAGTTGCCTTAACTTTTACTCAGTTGGATTGAGTTATATTCATTTATCAGGTTTTACTGTGCTTAAATTGCTTAGTTTACTCAAATCCATCCATCCATCCATCCATTCATCCATCCATCCATCCATCCATCCATCCATCCATCCATCCATCCGTCCGTCCGTCCGTCCGTCCGTCCGTCCGTCCGTCTGTCTGTCTGTCTATCTATATATCTGTCTATCGGTCTGTGCATTTAATAATTTATTTTTTATATTTTTATTAATTCATTGATTTATTCATTTGTGATTTCCTGCTTATGATTTCTGTAAAATGCAGTACATTCTTTAGATCTGTATATATAAAGAAACATATCAGTAAAGAATGATAAAGCACAGCTGAACCTTATCCATAGTACGTTTTGTCTGTTTGATAAAAGCAGTTTCTCGTAGCGAGGAAGAATCTGATTTAGTAAGATGAAGTTTCTCACCAGACGGGGGCACTACGACTGCAAAATGGGGACCAAAAATCATAAAAAAGTGAAACTATCTCAGGAGTGACAGAACTCAAATCATATGTGCCAACAAGTATATTTCTGCGGCATTTTAATCATTGCGTGGTATAGTTAATTATACGGTGATTAAATAAAAAATCACCACAGAGTTTTAGTCAGTTCCAAATATATTTTGCAATATAACATTTGATGCCTATAGGCTATGAAGTGTTTACAATATAATATAAACTTATTATGTTTTAAAAATACATGCATACATTTTATTTTTATTCACACTTGCTTTTTAACAATACCATTTATCAGTTCAAATGTATTCAGTTTTTTATTAGCCTGTATTTTATTAATATTTTTATTTACTTTTATTTAATTACCTAAATAAATACACCAGTCTAGAATTTATTTATTTATTTATTTATTTATTCATTTATTTATTTAAATTCTATGTCAGTGCTTTTTTCATGTATTGATTTATTGCGATTCATTCTCCTGCATTTGTCATTTTAGATCATAAGACGACAAATGTGTCTTTTGCAGTTCAGATGCGGATTTATAATTCATAACTTCGTGTTGTTTCCTCCAAGCTAATGAGCATTTGATGTGAGGAGAGCTATTTGAAGCAGTCCCAACCAACTTCTCGAGTCGAGACCCCAAATATCCCTGAATGACATCACGCACGTTGGCCAGTAGGAGTGTGGAGCGCAGAGTTTGGGGGCTGGAAATCAAATAGGTACGAGCTCTGCTGAAGTTTCTCAATCACTATCAATGAGGATTTGCATGCTGGACCCAAAAAAAGCGGAATTGGTGAAGAATGAGAAGGAACCACTTTGGACAGTTTGAATGATTCTGGAAGCTTTTATGGACTCTTTTCTCTTAGCAGCGATGCGTGTTTCTAACTTTTGATGCGTATTTACTGTGGTGTGGAGAAACAGATGCAACTTCACGTTTGAATGGACAAAGCTTTTTACCGATGAAGTTTTTTAAAACTGGAACTACTTTATGCCGCTGTCGTAGTTCATCGTTAAGTTTTCCCAACTTGTCCTACCTGTAGTGTTATTTCGCGCGCGGAACTTTATTGGCTGTGGACAAGACACGGATACTTTTTTGTTAGCCTTTGGAAATTTTGTTTTATAAATAGCCCGCAATACTTTTGTTTTATAGCATTTTGAATATTTCTAGTACCGTTGTTGGGCTGCTGCTATCAGCCTCAGAGGATATATGATGCGGTGGGTAAAGTATTGGGGGACAGTGGCTGTGCTCTGCGGGCTGCTGAGCTGTGCTGTGAATGGATGCCCGCATAAGTGCAGTTGTTCGGGCTCTCATGTGGATTGTCAGGGTCAAGCCTTCAAGACGGTGCCTAGGGGAATCCCGAGGAATGCCGAGAGACTGTAAGTACGCCTATTATCGCGTTATTCGAATACCGATAATAGAATGACAGCGGCTTTTATGACTATGACACCGTCGCGATTTCATGTTCTGTACGAGCGGGAGATGCGGTACAAGTTATTGGCGTACTTAAGATCAGGGAACACATTCACTACACTTTTTTTTAACCAAAACAGCTGATTTCTGATTATTGATGGTGGTTATGTTTAGGTATGGGACAGGGTTAAGGGGTCTAGAATGCAGCATATACTTTAATGATAGACTAATAGGCTAGTGTTAATTAATATAATAAACAGCCAAAATTATATTACCATGCATGGTACGTATAAATGCGCTATGTGTTCACTGATGTTTTTTGCAAGTATTTTTTACTTGTAGAGCCCATGTTACACACATTTAGTACTTTGATTAAACACTGAATTTTGTATTTGTTTTCAAGCAGTTATTTTGTTGCTAATTAAACCTAATTTTTCTTATTGGATACCAATATTCAATGAATGTTTTTCAAAAAAGTAAAAGCAATTAGTTTGTATACAAAAGTGTTTCAAAAATCCCCAGCAGCTGTTCAAAATGGAATACTAAATCATGAATACATTTTCTTGCAATTTTACTTTGAAATGTACAATCCATTATTTAATCAAAAAGGGGCTCTGGGTTTCCCATGGGTCACTGACATGTTTACATATACTGAATTTATATATGAGAGATTAGTTTTAATAATACATCAATAACGGGCTCTTTAAAAGACAACATTTCTCACTTGCTCAAACTGGAATTAAGTAGCACTTTAGTCAAGTAAATTTAGGTCACACATGCTACCATTGGGGGCAAATAAATGTGCAAAAAAGTTGATTGATGTTATATTTGCTTTATCTATCTGCTGGTATTCGTTGTTTGAGTCAAACACAGTTCACATTTTGTTTTGAAATATTTATTATTATCATTATCAGTATGGGATGTATTCGATGTCATGTTTTGGATATGCATCAACTTAAGTACTGTTTTGTTTATACCAACAATAATTACATCCATCTTATGAGTTGCCTAACTTATAAAGAGTTCCCATTCCGCTTTATGCATTAGTCTGATTGTTTGATGAGTTAGTCAAGTAAAATCACATTTCATTTATTAGATTCTGACTGTTATGAGAGAACATTTAGATATGAACTGCTTCTCATGTGTCCACATCTGAATGTTGAACAGCGCTGCAGCTGATTCTTTCATCCAGTATAATGAGTTTACACAAACATTAACATGATTAATGGCCATATGGTGTGAGTGTGTGTATGTACCTTGGCTGTATTAGTTGGAGAAACACAAGTCCGTTGAGGGGCGCAATGCAGCTGAAGACTGACTTTCTTATGTGTTTAGATTACTCCTAACCACTGGTGAATTTCACTGTGAAAATAGCCTTCATTTTCTCATTTCCACCTGCGGCACTTCTGTCGTGATAAACCGTGACAGTTCTTTAAATATCACAACCATCTGTTACAATACAATGCTTTTAGCCTGAATTTGATAGGAAAAGCATTCAGTGGCCCGATATTTGCTTGAACCTTCCGCCCTTTAACCCCTAAAGGGCTTTTCAGTGGAATTTTTCATGTGGAGAGAAAAATAAATAAGGGTCACGACCCTCAGTATATTGGATTTATTTTAAAATATAACATGTCAGGTTGAGTCTTGAGTCTTAAACTAGAGACAGATGAAAGTTTTTGGCTTCTGGTTAATGGCAAAACAACAAAACCATGAAAAGCCTCTAAAGGTTAGCACCGAGCTACGGCATCTGTAACATAGCAGACTGCTGAAAGTCTGGGACGACCTGTCGCCATGTCTCCTGGGTACGATTAACACGCCACCGGGTTTCCCAGAGCACCCCGGAGTGTTGATTTAACTGTAATGACTGCACCTCTGCCCTAAGCAAGGCCTAGTTACCCACAATTCCAGAGATCAGGCACATTTCCCTCTAATAAATGTGCATTTATTTGAAAGGCTTTTCTTTCTTTGACAGCTCCTATGATTTTGCGCTCATTAGTAGCTGTCGCAACTATAATATCCCCTTTCAGTCATTCACACACATGTCTCTCTTTCATATCCCTACCTCTAATTTGCACCAGTTACACACACACTTTGCAGCATTTAATAGCAAATTTGCTTCGCTGCAGACTCTGTAGCGCACTGGCCCTTTTGCAGTTAACACTTCAGGAAGTTGGCATAGCTTGTTTGGTCGTCTGGATCAGGAGAGTAAATGTCACAATGAAGTTTGGTGTGAATCCACCAACTCCAACTGTTGATTGCATATCCGTTTATCAGCATTTGCTTATGCTGCTTGTCAGATTTTCCTTTTACCACAGCGAGTCAGTCAGCGGGATACTATAAGTGTGTGTGTTTGTTGTGTTGGTGTTGGAGCGAGTCAGGAGGTGGGTTTGTGGTCTCCGGTGCCCTGCTGACCTCAGTGGGCATATGAGGAGCATATGTGAAGCCTCTCGCTCAGTGAGCGTTCACACACTGCAGCCTGCCAGACAGCTGCTGGCACTGCTTGTGGGCAAAGACTTCGGGGAGAGATTCGCCACCCAGCCTTAACAAAAAAAAAAGTGTTTCATGTACGGAAAAATATTTAATGTGCCTCATTTCAGGCAGTACATCAAAGCTTAGTGCTGTCTTTGGTGAGTTTGGGATCCAGCAGACCTCTCGTCACCAAAGTCTCTGAGAGGTCACTCTAAATGTCCGGGACCCAGATTTCTGTGAATCTTCCAAGCTTGTGTCATACTTTTAATGGAGGGCTGCAATTGATAATGTGCACGCCTCCGGGCCGTTTCAGGTTTACGAGAGCTCTTGTTTTGTGGGCTTTGTCACCAAAGCAACACATCAAGGGCTTCGTTATTCTCATCAGCACATCTTGTTGGTTATAGCAGAGTGTAGCTTCATTTGACACTGTTTATCAAAAGCTAACAAATATGAATAAAACCTTGTGTGGTTTTATGATTTCGTTTCCGTGATGTAAGTATCACAAACTCAAACAACGGGTTGTGGTTAGCAACCAGTAAACAAAAGAATCAAACCAGAATTTCTGAAGGATTTGATCAAGATTTTACAAGGCCTTTGATACACAGAAAGACTCAAATGTGACTCAAAGGTCCAGTTTATTGTCAGAATTAGGATGTGCTTGGATCGATTGGATCACAAAGACATTTGCTTTTACACATAGTATCTCTTTTGTCCACTTTAGTTATTTTTTTATGGGTCGGTAGGGCTGGGCAATTTGGCCTAAAATTAAAATCTTATATTATTTAAACATTTTTACTCGATTATGATTAATAAACGATTATTTTATAGTTTTTTTTATTTATAAATAAATATGCTCAAATATTACAGGTGATATTTTTTGGAATTAAGGTGAATGAATACTTTCTGAATGAAGGTTGCCTTACTTGATTTTAAAATAATTGCAGCAAAGACACTCTATCTACTATCGATGATTATTTATTGAACATCAATGCTGAACAACTGAAATTAAAGCACACATTTTCTAAAAACAATTCACTTTTATTCTAATAAAAAGTAAAAAAATTAATAACTTGCACTTTTGGAAACAAAAAAAAAAAAACTACTGTAGAGAAAGTAATCGAAAAAATTTACCTGGAAAATTTTGATTGATTATAGGTTCTTCTGAATGTGGATTTTGATTACTTTTTGATTAATTACCCAACCCTATGGCTCAGTGTATGTATGTGCTTTTTACAATCCTTCAGGCTAATATTATGAAATATGCTTACATATGAGCAACACGGAAGCAGTAGGAAGTGTAAAAAACAATACTTAGAGCTTTAAGCTATTGATAGCCCCAAAACTATGCTGAACACAGTTGATTGCGTTTTGCAAAACAATTTGGGTTGCGTTTCCCAAACAATGACATAACTTGTGACTGAATTACCTTATTATGATGCATCATTTGGGAAAAGATGTTGTGACAAATGTTTCCCATAACCAAAGTTGCTTTGTCGCAGATCCATTGTTTAAACCACCTTAGTTATAACATAAAATGTCCATAATGATTTCATCATGAGCCAAATGGCATTCAAAATGGCATAAATGTTTTCAAAGAGCACTGCGAAGGGAACGCAATTATCAATCTGAAGATCGCTTAAACTGAAATGTAAAAATACTTGAAAAGCAAATAAAGAGAGATGATTTTAATGTTTAAATCATTCCAAGTTTAAACATTGGAACATTTGAAAGGAATAAGGCATAGAGGGTTGACTAGGAACAGAACAAAACCAAGAACTATTCTTTTAACCACAGCTCTAGGGGTAGTTGCAAGCGTACAAGTTTGCAATGCCATTTGTGAATGTTCGTTGGAACGATGTATTTGGAAAACACCAATTCAACGAACTATGTTTGTGATGATGCAACTTGCGACCTTAGTTGACTAACGATGGTTTTTGGAAGTGCAGGCTAGTGCACTACAACATGTTTCATAACATAGGACAGAAAAGGTAGTCTTTTGTCTTTGTTTGGATACTTTCGATCACGTCAGCCACACTTTATAAAGCGGTCTGGTCAAATGTGTTTAAACTGCCTTTTGAAGTCGTGTAGACTGGGCAAATTCAAAATGTTTAAGACTCACTTGTATTTAGCTTTGCCCAAGTGATCAAACCAAACATCTTAATACCAGGTTTAAACAGGGCTAAAGTTGGGGAGTAAAATTATAGCAGTTTCACTTTTTATGGAGTTTTTCAGAAGCCAGAAAATATTTGTCACAAAACAAAAGCAAATAGTAATACATAATGACAAAATGCTACAGAATATCTATTTAGCTAATGTGCAAAACGAGGCAGTAATCAAATACACCCTCTTAAACTGTTAAATCTAAAGGATTCATGTAAATTTATTAACTAATTCACTTCATTGTACACACTATTTGTGCTGTGAAATAGCTGGTTCATTACATATACTGTGCTTTACTTTATTACTGTAGGTCACAGCTGCCATAAACTAACAGAAT